ATACACCATTTCAATTTAAATGCTCCTTCTGCGCTTCTGCTAAACACGCTTGTCAAGACCCCTCTTCCAGAAGATGCAAACCACTATCCGTGTTGGAAAACCCAGTCGAACCAGGGACCTCGATTCTTCCTTGATCTTCCACAGCACCCGCTACGAATGAAGTAACCCGCCCCGATGCTTGTCCCCCTTCCTCAAAGCGAAAATTGCGCTCAGCCCGTTAACAGTGGAAGACATTGGTCAACGACCCAATCTATCTACCAATTCCGTAGCGAAGGATGACACTCCCCATGCTACTCGTTTGTCCCATGCTCTTATCTAGGTGTTGCAGATGCGTGCATGGAAAAGATGCTGGAGCTTGTCGCCGACATGCCTCTGTCATCTGGAAATATATCTGCACACTGATGTGTAGCCTCCAGGTGGTGTTTATGATCCTCCGGGGTGCGGCAAGACCCTTCTAGCAGATACAATAGCCGGGGTGAGTGCGCCCATTGGTCCGTTTGTAAGTTGACTGATTGTGTGCAGGAGCTTGGTGTTCCCGTTATCACTGGTATACCTGCTCCATTTATAGTGTCTGGCTTGTCTGGAGAGTCCGAAAACACACTACAAGATACATTTGACGAAGCTAAGGTACATATTGTATTCCGCATGGTGTTTTTTAATTTCAGTCATTATCCCCAGCGTGTTGTTCCGCGTCTACTTTTCACCAACTAGATCGACACTATCACTCCAAAACGAGTGAGTGCCCAGAATGAGATGCATAGTCGTGCAGTTCCTGACGTGCATGGATGGTATTTTTACATCATTTTTTCTACCACATGTTCTAACCTGACCCGTACTTGGGAGAAGATTGAAGATAAGCCTGTGGTCGTCACTAGGGCCACAAACCGACCAGACTCGTTAGATGCTGTTTTCCGAAGCGCAGGCCGACTCGACCACGAGATAAGCATGGATGCCCTGGATGAGGAGGCCCGAAAAAGTAAGCCCGTCGGTGTCATCATCCATTTCAAGCTTTGGCAGAATTCTACGAGTACTATATGCACAAGTCCAGCTAGACGGCGATTTCAACTCCGCTGCCTTTGCCAAAGCCACGCCTGGCTACGTAGGCGCAGATCTATCTGCGTTAACAGGCGCAGCTGGCGTCGGAGCCTCATCGCTGTCAAACATATCTTCAAACAACTCACAAACGACACGCTCGTCCTTCTGGAAGCACCAGAACACATCGGCCAAGATACTCCCGTGGCAGTGGATCCGTCACGAACGCCCCCAGCCGATACCGCGCCAAGTATAGTACTAATCCCTTTTCTCTCTCTAGCGTCCCGGCTCTCTACTTCTCCCATTTTGCATTTCCTCAGTACACATGCCTCTCCCCTCCCTGCATTACTTCGGACGATTTTTATGCAGCGCTACGTGAAGTCCAGCCTTCCTCCAAGCGAGAGGGCATACATCGCCACCCACAATAGTTCCTCCCGCTGTGCACCATCCGTCTTCCATATGCTTTTGCGTGTCGTCTATAGCTTTTGTAAATTGATATACACAAAATACATGCATCTGCTTCAATAACGCCCATTCCTTGAAAAATGCATGTGTCGTTTGAGTGGTACTTGCGAACCGAGCAAGCACTCAACACTCATTTCCAGTCAATGCTCATGTTAACAATATTATAATCACATCTGATCATATGACATGCAATATGTAATAAAATAGATCAAATGCACACAGGTACGAGTAGTGTGAAGGGAATGAGATCAAGAGTGCAGAACCAGGATACCAACTGGGGAAAGAACGAGATATCACAGGTAGGTCGTGGCAGCAGTGCAAGGTTACTGGCAGTACGAGAAAGGTCATGGTTGGGCATGCAACACCAGATTCATGGAAGGGTGAGGAAGGGTCTGTGTTGACATATCAGGCATGGCATTACCCTTGGAACATGGGGCTGTGGAAGTGCAGTAGATTGACAGAGCAAGTGATCACTCAAGGGTGACAGGAAGGTGCAGAAGGTCGAAGTAGGAACACAGGAGACTGTGGTAAGTCATGGGGGCAGCACCAGGTTAGCATGAGCATGAGGTTGGACATGTGGGGTAATGGGCAACAGCAGGATATTAATGGAAGGGGGCTGTGTTGGTGTGTGGCAGGAGGTGGTAGGAGGTTGCCATAGGGCATAGATGGTTGCATTGATGGCGGCACCACACCATAACTGCATGATGTTGCTGGGGGAGGCAGGAGTGATGCCATCCTATTGATTTTTGTTTCATCTGACCAGGTAGCCCTATTCCAGTCCTCAACAGTCCAATATTGAGGCTTTAAAGCAAAGGCCAATCTCCTTCTTATATAGGCTGAAGACAGGAAAGGCTTTTCTGCCTGTTTACAGCTTTAAGATTGGCTGTCTTTAGAGTATCCCTGACTATTTGAGTGGAGAGAGCAGTGTAGATGATGTCATTAATGAATCTGGTGGCTTGAGTAGCATTAGCAGCCTGCCTAGTTGGAATATTATGAACAAGAGATTTTTTGTTATATGATGTAAGCTTGAAAGGACAATCTAATTTGATATTTTTCTTATCTGGAATGACTTTTTTATGATCCTAATGATAGTAACCCTGCTCAGACCAGTTTTAGTAGCAATCTGCTGTTGGATAATGGACAAACGTCGGACATTACTGTAGTTTACATATGTTTGGTTCACTTACAACTTTACCTATTGCTTAGCACTCAGTAGACCTCAGTGACTTACCACATCACTGAGGTGAGATATTCATTCATTCATAGCATTACTTATACTGACTGTACTGCAGTGTTATACTTGCTGCATCTGCCTGGTATACAGATTAAAAAAGCTGATGATAATAACAATAGGGGCTATTTCAGCTGTGGGAGAGAGTTGCAGCAGAGTGGGGCAAGATTGTTGATGAGGAATGCCTCAAATTGATAGATATTATGCATAGAAGAGTGGCAGAAGTAATTAGAGCAACAGGAGGAAACACCAAGTACCAGAATTATAGAGATTGTGTTGGTCAAACTGAAAGTCAAAAAAGTGTCTCAATGAGTCACCAAATTAAATTAACCGTATCTTCACTTGATGGCATAATTGTCTCATGCTAGAGGGATCAAACATGAAGCTTAGAAGCAGAGCTTTCCCACACCTCCCTATGGCTTAGTCATATTCTCACACCCTAGCTCATTGTACAGCAATTACACAAAAAGTCACAAACATTGAGATACTTTTTTAAGCCACTGTACTGTCATATCACTACAGATCCTCCAATGTTCAGTAAGGCATAAGTCAGCTCTCAGGATGATTAACTCTGAAACCATCCCTATCAAAGCTCTTCAGTGCCATGGCTAGTCTGCATGATGCCTCTGAGTCCAAAATGACTCATGAAAAAATACCATGTGTTCCTGTGAAGTTTCATGCAATTGTTCCTTCCTGTACTCTCTCAGTTACTCAGCTGCTCATCTTCAACTTCCCTACAAATCTCAAAACCAATTTTTCATCTACCAATATAATCTTTTCTCAACAGTCCCCTATGGTCCAGCTCCCTGTAGATTTCATTTCATGATCAGTTCCTACATTTTCAATGGCCACTGCACTTCTGCAATGTTCCTGTTGATGCTGTACTAATCCACATGACATCAGGAGGGTCAGTCCCTCATGGCTACAGTACTGATGATTCTGGCAATCTGCTAGCTTGCAATGAGGCAGAAAGATATGACCAAGAGCTTGCAGCTTCTGCCACTGAAAGTGATGAGGAGATTTTTGGTTGTGGAAAGTGCAGATGCATGGAAAATACACAGTACAAATTTTTTTGGAAACATTGACTGTAATCTACACTTTTTTTCATGTTTTACCATATGTCACAATTTACCTTTGACAAGTTCAATTTCATGTGACTGTCACATGAAATAGCTTCAATTCATTGGATGTGTGATGATGTGATGAAGCTTATAGTACTGTATAGATACACACTTAGGTTTGTCACAGCATCACATGCCTGGTGAATTGAACCTAATTTGTGTGACGGTCACACCAATTTTGAGACCATCAAACCTAAATTGTGACATGTAGTAAAAATGTAAAAAAAATAGCTAGTGCAGCCAAAAGTCCTTGTACTGAGTGTTTGCAACACATCTGCACTTACCACAGCCCTCAGCCTCAACCTCCTCAGACCCATTCACTATGGATTGAAGCTCTATGCCATCCACCACTTGCTCATAGCTCTCTGACTCATTGTATATAGAGAAGATATTGTGTTGCCAGGCAGAAATAAAATTAGAGACAATATTTGTAGAGCGAGCACTTCCAGGTTGAGCGTGAGGATCAGCATGTAGCACTGCACATGTATATGAAGGATATTGTCTGCCTAATGTTGGTTGCTTACCAAACAAACCTAATCACAGCATGTCACACATCACACACCCCCTGTGAACCTTCAAACCTAATGCTCATTTGGTCACACCTAAATAGGGCTGAACCTAAGTGTGTGTCTATATAGTATACCAGATGTGTTGCAGAGGTCAAGCTGTCACATGACTCATTGTATGTGTTACATTCTTTTATTTTGAATTTGAATCATACCAACAGCTCCTCCTCAGGTGCTCTCCTGGACAATGGTGAGAATGTGATACCAGCACAAGCTCAGGCTTCAAAATCAATATCAACAATCATCCCCTGAGAAAACTGACGAACCTTTGTTGAAGAATCAGTCCACAACCTTGTAGTAGAGCACCTCCATCACAAATATAAGCTTGAGATGTGAAGTCTAGGCAACCATGAACTGCACTATGAAGATCCTCAAAAGTGGGTATTGGACTGGTACCAAAAGCTTAAGGCATGTATCAAGGCAGTTGTCAAGGACATCATAGCTGTTGAGAGTAAAATTGGTGAGCATATATGTGCCCATTGTCCTGCATGATTTGGGAATCATGCATGGACATGACTACTAGGTAGCCCCCTAAAAGACAAAGTCTGTTAGCTTAGGCATCAGGCTAGTCAACCCATACCTTGGTTTCAAACCTTGGTCAAATAGTTCAGTTTCCCCTCTGTGATTCATGAATTTATTATATCTTGAAGAAAAGTCATTTGTGAGATGGGAATCACATAATGATCTAGTTGATATTGTGAAGCAATAAGAAGGTTAAGGTATTGCCTTGCCTTTGGCTTATTCACTTTGGCTAGAGAAAATCATAGAGAAAAGTTCAAAGCCTAACAAAAACCTATCTAAAAAGCCTGTGTTTTGTGTCTTGTTATTGTATTATTATTTCTGAGTTGTTTTCTCTAGTATTTCCTTGATTTATTTTTCTATTGGGATGCTCTGACCCATCAGATACTTCACAAAATTGTACCTACAGGGTATGATGTCATATGGCTCCACAGATACTCCTGCAAGTATTCTGTTGAAAGTTATGATGTCATTTGTTCTGGAATGTTCTGCTCCACAATGACTCACCTCTGATGTCATTACTCCACCTATGGAATATTCTGGAATGTTCTGCTCCACTTCTGATGTCATTTCTCTGCCTTTTTACTTACATAATATTCCCACACAAAATGTATATAAGGAGAGCCCATTCTCCCCCCCAAAAAATAGAACCTCCCACTTGCAATCATTTGAATCTCAGTTTGAGCTACTCACTGTGAAGATTGTTGCTTACAAAGAAAGCCCCTTTGAAGTACCAAGTGCAGGGAAAAGACATTCCCTTGAGACTACATAAGTTTCTTACAATAGAAACTTAGTTTATTTGAGACCAGCTTCTCACCTAGTTTTCTGATATTGACCAACACAAGCTTTGGTCAATCTGATCATTTGTGAGACCAGTTTCTCACCACTTTGTGCCTATTTGACCAACCAGTCTTTGGTCAATGTATTTGTATTTGAGACTGTAGTCTCTACAGAGAATTGTCTTAATGAGGAACCACATTCCAGTGTCTAGACAGTTTATCCTAGACAAGTTTATAAGTTGGGATAAAACACAAAAGCTCCAGCTAAGTTAATTGCATAGATTGGTTTAGCAAGCCTCCCAAGAACTCACACATTATCTACCATGAAAGAAGAAAAGGCATAGACCATGTTAATTGAGGACTGGCAAGAAGTCTTATCCTAGTGTAATTGTGGTGTCATTACATTTTACATGCATTTATATAAGACCCTCAGTTATTAAGACACCATTAGGTACCTGTATTGAACTCAAATACAAGCTAGTGTCTTGTGCTCTTGTCAAACCTGAGAAACTCTAATCAAAATCCTCAAGATCATGCTTGGTCTTAGATGGGATGAAAACCATAGACCTGCATGGATGTAGTACAGAGTTGACTTGCCTCCTATGATGCACATATATTGAATATCAATACTCTTTTGTCATGATACTTATCCCCTTCTGCACTTGTATTACTCCATCCCCTCCTCTGTTCTCTAGCGCAACATGCAAGCAATGTGATAATCAGGGACTGATAACTCCTTTACTATTGACCAACTTCCCAAGCATATTGCTGGCTACTGTCCTGAACTCTTTCACAGTAACGACGACGCCCTCTCCTTGCTCTGAGTCATGCCTCTCCAGTGCTCTGAGAATACCACCCACAACACTAACAAGCTGCTTGAGATCATCTTCCAAAGCAAACCACATATACCTCTTCATGCCTTCCACAAGGATGGGAAGGAACTCGAAACAGTGTATGTCATCAATGACAAATTCAGCATGGCACCATGCCATTATCATCATGTCCCACCACTGCTGCTCTGTGATAGTATCGAACGGTGTAACAAACAACTGTTCAGGTGGGATTCAGAGGAGAATGCCAGATAGGTAAAAGGCATGCCTTGAATATGATCTGCAGCACTCTCTGACCATGCTGATGCACTGATCTATATGGTGATCCCTAGACAAATGAGGGTGCCAATTGGAATTACGTGCAAGGGCAAAGATCAATTCGAGATAGCACAAGTTGCAATCATCATGGAAGGAGTGGTGAGGATTATCAGCGAGTGTTGTGTCTGGTTGTGGACAAACTGTAGTCAGGATAGTGGGGGATAACTTGGTCAAAACCATGTCCTGCAGATTTATATCAATGGCATCAATCAAGACAATTTCTTCTCGGACAATGCGAGCAGCATAACACAAATGGATGGGCATGTCACTGCCCATGTAGGCAATGAGGCTCTCCATGAATTGATGCTGTTTAGCAGGGCTGCAGTGCACTTCCATGAGACCCATGAGCAAAAGGATGTCAAATGTCACTTCTTGGTCATTGGAATAGATGTAGTTGAGACACTCCACCAGTCAGTTGAAATCTTCTGGTGAATGGGAATTGCCTGAAAACCAAAAATATATATTCCACATGTGGGCAGGGTCCCAGGACACTTGGGCAGCAGTGAGTGTGAACTGTAGTGCATTTCGCAGAGCTGCAAATGAAACCAAAGGATCATTTTGTTCAGATGACCTCACTTGTGAATAAATCTTCCTACACACATCCAGGTTTTGCATGGTGTTGGATGAACAATAATAGTGACTTCAAGCAAGCTTGAGCATGCAACAGATAATGTCCAGGAGGTTCCATGCTCGGCATGTGACTCCTGTGCTGTCTTTATCGAGATCGCCTCCATCCCATGCCCAGAGAACACTTTGAAACTGTGCTAAAAGGGACTGTGTGACTTTAGGCAGAGCAGCACTACACGATCTCTTTGTTAAACATAGCAGAAGAAGCAGCAAATGAGTCAAGAGCACCTTTTATCAATCTGAATTATGTTCTTCTTGTCAAACTGAACCCCAACCATGATGCAAGCAAGAAGAGTGCAATTGGCTATGATTTGATTTGATGGAGAGGAAGGAAAGGATAGGTGTTTTGATATCACCTGTATGGCAAATGCTTCTATACCTTGATTTACTCACCCAGTGACAAAGTGGTAAGGAAGATAATGTGATAGCCACTCTGTGACATGGTCAGGATAATCATCTAATGAATACCACATAAGTCCATGGTTGTCATCTTCTGGAAGACAAAGATTCATAGTTGTGGTAAGCACCATGTAATTGGTGTCACCAATGTCCCTCCAGGTCATCTCATTAAACATGTTGAAGTCTGTTCTCCTGCAGCCATGAAGTTCACCATGGTCTGGATATGCATGAATAATGTGGCCACAATATAGATGACTCATAGCCATTATACAAGCTGAGGCCTTCCCATCCAATGATGGTACAATTTGCCCATCAAAGCTGATGCAACTTATGAAAATATCAGACAACTCATGCAGCATGTCTGAGATGTCAAGATCCAGGGGCCATCTGACCAATGGAACAAAGCTGGCCACTGTAATGAATACTTCAGGATCCATGGATGTCTCCAGCAGCCACTTGATGCTAGGTGCTTTGAGATTGCTGGTGAGTATGTCTGGGAGTTGGAGGGAAAGGGTACATTTATTCATTGCCAAAACATCCAGAGCCTGGTTGAGTGGTTGTGCCTCTGAGTCTACATCATTTGTTAAAGAGTGTGGAACCAAAGAATGCAGGCCATTGTGAAGCATAGCAGATAACAGCTTAAGAGAGCATCATGTGAATTTGCCAGTAGCATGCACAGTGCCTGGGAAGTGACATGAGCACTGAGTGTCCTGTGTAAGAGTAGATAAGAACATTACCTCTCAATGCTTCAGACAATTGGGTCCATCTTGGTCTGAGGATATCAAGCATTCATTGCAGCACAGCTGACAAGAAATGGTCAAAACCTGTGCACACATGATAAACTATAGCTCACTGTGTGCTGATGTCTTGAGCTGCTGGAAATGCCTGAAGGCTGGTTTGAAGATCAGAAGTAAAACTCCTGCAATACTCATTCAGACTGGAAACGACCACCAGAATTCATGAAATGATCTTACTGTGCATGCCCAACATGTGCAACACTGTCAACATTGGTGTCTGGAATGGGCAGGTGGGAGATATCAAACATGCCATCACTGTCAGCAAATAGAACAGAAATCCAAAGACCATTGTGGCAATGATCACCCAAGCAATGCTGCACTGCTCATACCACATATTGGCACTGAGGGTGATCCCAAAAAGAAGAAGGGAGATCTGAAGCAAGACTGGAAAGGACTGCATGATGGCATCAAAATACCATGTGACAAGGCCATCAAACTTCTCTTGCCTGTGCTTTCCTTGTTCCTCCTATGAGCCACGACCATATCTATTCGACTTATTGTTACAGCACCCCACTCTTTTTCCCATCATCACTACGGATGCCTTATGGTTGTACTCTTGACGCTTCCTTTTTGCTGTGCTGTTTCCTCATGGTCTTCCTTATCTCTGACTCATACCTTTGTTTTCCCATGAACCTTCCTTTCTTAGTACTCATTACCCTTTGCCCAGCATGGTCTGTGTATGATTCTGTTACATATATAAACTGTTAAGAACCATGCTCAAGGGAGAGAGAGACTGACTCAGAGGGGTTTGGCCTCAGCTTGTATGCTATGCCCCTTACCCAAGTATGTGCCCTTCATTTCAGAGGAAGTCCAATGATGGTCCGTCAAAGTCCAAAGGACTTCCAGAGGAGTGCAGGAGAATTTTGGATGAATGCAGGAAGTGCTCTGGAGAGTTCCCACTGCAAGGTAATACTTCTACAGGAAATGGGATGGAAGGATAGGAGGTCCAGAGGACAGGATGTCCAGAGGTATGGAGGACAGGAGGACAGGATGTCTGAGGGTTAGGAGGACAGGATGTCCAAAGGTATGGAGGGCAGAATGTCTGAAGGACAGGACACCTGGAGGTGCACAGAACAGGATATCCAGAGGTCTAGAATGAATAGGGGCTACATCGGACTTCGTCTGATGTAGAAGCAAACAGAGGTAGACTACCCTTAGGTAGAGTCAGAGAGATAGGAAGTGGACCAAAGTCTGGAGAGAGGGTAAGTGCCAGAAAGGCAAGACTCCAGCCTAGGGAAGCAATCTCTAGACTTGGGATAGAGACATAGGGGACAAATCCGAAGGTCTGGAATTCCAGCCTAGGGAATCCATCCCTAGGCCTTATGGAAAAGGACAAACTCAGATGGACTGAAGTCTGGAAGAAGATTTGGCAAGTAGAACAGGATCTAAGATGATATTTAGACTAAGGAAACTATAGGAGTATCTACAGGGGTTATATACTGGAGGATATCTGAGGGGATCAGTAAGCAACAGAGTAAGGCTATGTACAAGCATGTGGAAACACATTGGTAAGTAAGACAGAACATAACTAAATGAACTCAGAGATGAAGACTCATACAAGGATCAATCAGCAAGATGGAAACAGAGATAACTGAGAACTGGAAAGGCAGAGATGCCTAAATGGGGATAGGCGCAGGATCTCAGACAGAGGGTGGGAATGGTCTGGAGATAGTACAGTTAATATCCGGAGGTCTGGAGATCTGGGGATCTGGAAGGCAGGACAGAAACAGGACTGAGATATGTGAGGTGGTGGATGTAGTCCAAAATCTGAGAGGAGGTAAAGTCCGGATGTCTTGCTGGATGGAATGTGCATAGGGTGGACAGGATAGGGGATCCAGGAATGAATCGGATATGGGGTCTGGAAATAGGTCCAGAAAGCGTGGGAATATGATGGGATCTATGTCTGGCATATGGGATATGACATAAACCCTAGTTATTGGTTGTATTTTCTCTAACTTGAATCTACTCGGTTCTCTTTCATACTTGAACTCTAGCTCCTTGGGAAGGAGGCTAGCCACTGTCCCATTTGAAACTCTAGATCCTGCAGGAGTCTAGATGATTGCTCCTGAGGGAGGCATAGACTTGATAAGGCTTTGTCCTTGATCGATCCTGATCTTGATTCCTTTATTGGAATGATGCTCTATCCAAGTTTGTAACAAAAGATTCAAGTTACAGTGGCTCAAAAAACTGTCTGCATGTTTTGACATTTTTCACTATCTATGATATTGTGTGAGAACAAACAAATGCCTCAAGGACATGCTTATACCACATTGTAGTATGGCTTCAGGGCTTTCATTTGAGCCCTATACCGTGGGAATCGGTGGAGATATGGTGGAGACATAAGGCTTATAAAATGATGACTCATGTGGACAGTTTTTTGAGTATATATTAAAACTATATAAATCATTATTTATGACACCACAAAAATCATGCCACTATTATATAAATTATGAAGTGGTGTCATTATGTTATTTTATGACTATATCTAACTATATAAACCAGAATATCTCATGTATCATAGTCATAATCACCATGAAAGCCATCTCCTCTGCTCAAAGAGATAATATCCTCTCTCTGTCTTATGCTGGCCTCTCTGCTTGCCAAATTTCCTCTAGAACTGGAGTATGCAAGTCCACTGTGGCCAAGTTTATCAAAGAAAGCCACCCAGACAAGGAAAACTCTTGTGGAGGACATCCATCCAAGCTTACCTCTACTGACAAAAGGGCTATTATCCAGCATATCACTACAGGAAAGGCTGATAATGCTGTCCAAGCCACCCATTATATCAATTTCACCATCACTACCCCTGTCTCTTCACAAACTGTGAGGAATGTTCTCAAGGCAGCTCATCTCAAGGCAGTAACAAAGAAGAAAAAGCCTCTTCTCTCCATCAAACATAGGCAGAGAAGACTAGCCTTTGCCTTAGCTCATCAACACTGGACTGTAGAGGACTGGAAGCATGTTATATGGTCAGATGAGACCAAAATCAATAGGATTGGGTCAGATGGGAAGGTATATGTATGGAAAAAGAAGGGAGATGGCCTAACAGACAGAGAGGTTAATGGGACTGTTAAGTTTGGAGGTTCTTTAATGGTATGGGGCTGTATGGGATGGAATGGTGTGGGAATGCTTGCTGAGGTTGAGGGGAAGATGAATGCTGAGCAGTATGTGGACATTTTAAATGACCACTTGCTGCCTAGCTTGGCAGAATCAGGGATTGATGAAGAAGATATCATTTTCCAACAGGATAATGATCCCAAGCACACATCCAGAAGAGCTAAGGAATGGTTTGAAGAACATAACATCAATGTTCTTGACTGGCCAGCACAGTCTCCTGATGTCAATGTCATTGAACATCTCTGGGGAACACTCAAGAAAAAGCTTCAAGCCTATGAAAACCCCCCTAAAGGAGTATGGGAGCTTTGGAAGAGAGTAGCAGTGGAATGGGGGAAGATCACAGCTGAGGATTGCCAGAAATTAATTGAGAGTATGCCTAGAAGGATAGAGGCAGTAATTAAAGCC